CCGGGCACCGCCCTCTGCGCGGGCCCACCCCGGCCTGCCATGAACAGGGGCTTCTGGACCCAGTGCAAGCCAAGACTGAGCAGTCCCAGCTCGCATTGGCTCCCGGACCATTGCGGCTCAGCCTTTTAAATGTAATGAGCCGAGTAACTTTTACTACATTTAAAAGGCTGTGCTGCAGTGGTCAAGGATCCAGGACAAGCTGGGACCATTCAGTCCCAGCTTGTGCCAGGTCCCAGACCTCTCCTGCTGCAGCTCTGCCTTTTAAAAGCAGTAAAAGCCACCCACGTCTTACTACATTTAAAAGGCAAAACTGCAGTGGTCCCAGAGCTGGTGCAAACCGGGACTGCTCAGTTCCTGCTCACGGTAGCTCTGGGAGCTAACCCAATGCAGCTCTGCAGAGAGCACCTCCCCTTAGCAACTTATGGAGTAATTGACATAAATTGTAGCCAAACACCTGCTCCTTAACATCCTTATTTGGTTTTACTACTTGGGTTAGGTTAGGTCCAGTTATGTCACCTGTGTTCACACCAAGTGGTACCTCATTCTGAGAGTACTTTCACTGTGACTGAAGTCTACACGGGGCCACTTATTCCAGAAAAGTAGCCACTTTTCCTGAGTAACTTGCCAGCTGTCTACACTGGCCGCTTGCTTTTTCCGGAAAAGCAATGACGATCTACTGTAAAATTGTCAGTGTTTTTCCGGAAAAACAATGCTGCTCCCATTCAGGCAAAAGTCCTTTTCTGGAAAAACTGTTCCGGAAGAGGGCCAGTGTAGACAGCACAGTAGTCTTTTCTGCAAAAAAGCCCCGATAGTCATTTTCGCAATCGAGGCTTTTTTCCAGAAAAGCAGGTCTACATTGGCCACAGACGCTTTTCCGGAAGAAGTGCTTTTCCGGAAAAGCATCCTGCCAATGTAGATGCGCTTTTTCTGGAAATACTTATAACGGAAAACTGTTCCGTTTAAAGCATTTCTGGAAAAGGGTGCCAGTGTAGATGTAGCCGTACAGTGTAGTACCACTTGACATGAGTAAGAAGGGCAGAAGTTTACTGATCTCCTGAAATGCATAGTATGGAAATTAATTATTGTCTTATTAGTTTTGGATCTTTGTCACTATTTTAATGTCTGATCTTCATTCCACTTACCTACAAGATGCACTACAAAACTCTCAACTCAACTATCCAATTACTTGAACAAGAATATTAAAATCATATCAAATATGAAAGACAGTGTTGACCTCAGGGTTTTTTATTGTCCAAGCTGAGACAATGCAGAAAATAAACACAGCACATAAAGAATGACCCTGCTGTTGTCACTTGTTCAGTTTAGTAACAGCTTAAAAAAAAACCCTCTATAGTACATGATAACCTGTTCCTTTGACACAGAAAAATATTTTAAAAGGATCACTTTGTAATCCCCATATACATTTGCAACCGAAGTAGTGCACGATGGCTGATTTAAAAAGACAACCGTTGCCTGCTACTTTTTCCTGGTGCTTTACAACTCCAAGATTTTTTCATTCGCCTTCTCACCTTCTATGCTTTTGGGCATAGGCGGGTCTGAGCGTTATGTATTGGGCTCCCAGATCTGCTGTACAGCGAGGGTCGTGAGGGCTCCTGCTTGTAGCCATTCTTCCTCCTAGGAAGAGGAACATGCAGCGCGATGTGAGAAGGGAACAGCCCGGCGTTGGCTGCCCCATCTACTGTCACGGCACCAAATTACGCGGCAGCGCCCAACCTGTGAGTTACAGAAAAGACTTTGTCCAGCCTCCTTGGCTCTCGGGCTGCTTGGCTTCCTGCTCCGCTTCTCTCGAGCTCTCCAGGCGCAGCTCCCTCCCCCTTGACAGCCCGCCTTCCTACTCAGCTGTTCGCTGCGGCTCCGGCAACTTGGGGAGAAGGGACGGTCCCTCTGTCAGCTCCTGTTGTCAGGCCCTGCTGGCAGCTTCGCGCCCCGTCCACTTCCGGAGACTGCGCGCTGTCTCCACGCGGCACTGCCTGCCCACGTCCCCCATGCCCCACGCAAAAGCCGGGGCTGATGCCTCTCTCCCGCCCCCGAGCCGGGGTGGCTGCGCGCTCGCCTGTACCCACGCGTGGGGGGTTAAGTCCCTGCAGCCGCCTCACCTGCGCCCCGGGCTTTGTCCCACAGCGCGATGCTCAGCGGGCGCTGAGGCAGCTCGCTCCGCAGCAGCGCAGCGCACAGGCTGCCGGTCAGCCCGGCTCCCACGATCAGCACCCGCGCCATGACAGGGGGCGGGG